ACATGAAATGAAATTGTGACCGTCAGATCAACATAAATTCAATCTTGACCGTTGGGCTCATATGTTCATATGAGCTAGTGGACTAATCTCAGCATTTTTCATTATATATATAACACTAATATCCATAAAACTATAAATAAGATGGGTATCATCCCTTAAATTAACTTTGGGTTTTCTCCGTGCCCCTGGAGAAAACCATGGTTAACACTGAAACCTCGCATTCCTTGTTTTTAGTAATGGTTAATATTCCTTGATTTTAGTAATGGTTAATGACTTCTAGTTTATAGTGTTGTTGATAAATCTACATTTCTCACAGTAGATAGAACTTAACTTGGGGTTCCGCCATTAAAGAGACACTGGTTCAGCAATTACGATGATAAAATTATTCCACAGTTGATACCCAATAATTAAGAAAAACTAATTTAAATTGGCTTTTGAGGAGCCAAAAGTCAATGTTGCTTGTAAGGCCATCTTTACATGTCAAGAAAATAGTTGTCCATTCATGCCAAGGGTCACCATTTTGGGAAGTTTATAATGTTGAAATTTGGTAATGATTATTGCCCATTAGAAGTGGTTAGAGGTGGTGATGATTATTTCAATGAAAAGAGAGATGATCAATGAATATACAATAAAATCATGGAAATCCATGAAAACAACTGTTTGGTAATTTGGGATGGCTGGTGATCATTTGAAACCTAAATAGTTTTTGAAGGAAAAAAAAAGCATGTGCATCAATATCTTAATGGATTGTATACTACAAGATCATTTATCTTTGTTACAAAGAGGTCACAATTGATACTAACCATTAAATGTCAAATTAGATGGCTTGAGATGTATCATAAAATTTGAAAAATTTGCTTTTGAAGTTTGAATCTAATCAATAACATACTCACAACCACCCGATTTGAAATCTAATGAATGATAGATATGAGCTATACTCTACCTACATGGTCAATCATCTCAAAAATTTAGGATCTTATTTTAAATTACCTCTTGGAAAGGAAAGATAGATGACTATATTGTATATATGAAAAAGTATACAATAAGGCTATTTACCTTTGATACAAGGTAGGTATAATTAATCTTGACCATTAGATGTGAAATTGGGTGGTTGTATTTATTCCATTAACCAAACAAAAGTTTAAAAAAGAATATTTCAAAACTTTGTGACACACCCAAGATATCAAATTTCACATTGGTTGGTGATAAGTAACTGTGACCTCCTTGTATCAAAGATAAATAGTCTCATTGTATACCATCCCTAATAGAAGAAAAAAAAGCTATAGTTTTATAGTGTTCAGCCCATAAAAAGATATTGAATTTTAAGGGTGGGAAGGCGAGGGATGTTTTTGTATGAGGCTGGGACATCATGCAAAGACTAATATCACCTCTACATAGTTACTGGCGTAATGTCCACATCATTGTACAGACTTTATAAGAGAGTTAATTTGAACTCTGAAAAAATAAGAGGGCATTTGTAACATTTTCTCTAATAACTAGAAGACCAACTGATATTCTGATAAATGTAATAATAAATGGTTGATGTTACCATTCATTAAGAATTTAAAATTTAGTATTTATTAAGAGAGGCAGTCAATGTAATTCTAATATTTATTAAGGCAATCTCTGTTCTCTCGTACACAATAGACAGGAAAGAGTATATCACAGTGGAAATAATGTATATTATTTTTCACTCAGCAAAACCTAAGACCTTGGTTTTCCATAATCTTACTGTACATAAAAAGACAATAAAAGGTCAATTAAAAGGCAGTTACCAGATCCTATTTTATATACAAGCAAATTCCACAACTCCATTACTATAGCAATTTCTTCAAGCATATAAGCCTTGACAGTTAGCAGTCAATAGATAGCAGTGCCTATGTCTAAACTTGGCATGCATTTTGCCTCCACTGCCAAGCTCTTGAGCTTCCCTTGACAAGGGTCATGGCCAAAAGCCTGGTTGGAGACATTGAGTGTGCAGCTGCTTCGTCCTTCACATGCCTGAATGTATCAGTTGTTTGTTAAGAAAACAATTATACATTCAAATACCTGTACTTCTACACTAACTTAAGGGGAAGAGGGCCCATTACCAATTGAAAAGAAACGTGTGCCAAACAGCCAACACATCCGAAAATGGAAGAGAGAACAGATAATAAATAAAAGTGTTAAGAGATTAAATCAGTCACATTATTGAAATTCTATCTAAAAGTATTTTTAGGATCCTAATTTTTGTGGATGTAACAGTGATTTCATATGGACTGTTTTATCATAGCATAATGAAACACACCTTAAAAGACCATGTTAGGAGCACTTGATTTGCTCTAATTTTTAACATAAACTCAATTCACTATGATAAACAATTTCAAAAATAATTTGAAACACCATAAAAATTGCTTTTTAAACCCCATGAACATAAGTCGCCCATTCAAAAGGATGATTAGATCTAGGTTTAGGAGAGATTATTTTCTTATCCCAAATTTTGTAGTTGACCTTATAAACATTAGATGAACAATTTTACAAAAATAATAATAATTTTGAGTTCTTAAAGGCCTACATCTCAATGTTCGCCAAGTGAATGGCCTAGATTCATTGAGGGAGAGTGGTTCATTTTTATTTTTTCTAGGGTTTAAATTCAATCTTTTCTTTTTCTTGATTGTTGGATGAAGAGAGGGGGAGTGAAGAACTTGGAATCATATGAATGCCATGAACATGGTTTTTAAAAAGCAAGGTTTCATTATAATATAATGTAAAAGTGACATAAAATCACTCGCCGTAATTATACACTCTATGTATGCCTAAAAAGATGACAATCTAAGATTGAACAGAGACCATCCCATTTTTGGATGGTCAAATCTAAGTTTCTAAAAATTGAAATTGAAATTTATTTATCTATTAGTACTCATCTGGTGATTCTAAGGCGATCCTGAAATTTTAAGATAACAAAAACTTCCAAAGTGGCTCTTTTGCTCAAGGGAGTAAGCGTATAGTGCAATCCAAAAAAGAAAAAAAGACAAAAAACAAAGAATAGAAGTTCATTAGCATTCGAACAGAAGGGCCACAAACCTTGGAGACAATGGCCAGGGAGTTGGGGGCATGACATGTTCCATATCTGAAATTTTGGCAGTTCCCATAGGGATCGCCAAAACTGGCAAATGTTATGGCTGAGATCTTCTGTCCATCGTCGCAACGAAGGCTTAGTTGCGGACTGACATATTGGTACAAGAACTTTCCACTTATAAAATCGGGATGTGACCAGATGTCGAGAGGTGGATAGTGAGACTCTAAAACTTTGGCACAAATTGTCTGCGTGGCATGCAAGTTGATGGAGATCTCCAATGGGTTTCCTCCAATTTCCTCGAAGAGGACAAGAAGATTGTCAGAGGCTTGTAACCATGACCTCGGGATATGGTACCTGGAAACCAAGTCCAATATCAAAGAAACTGAACAGTGTAATCTTTCTCCTTTCTCGTTCTGTTCAATAAAATTATTGACTTGATGCTTCAAATGGAATCTAAAAAAACTTATGCTACTTTTCTATTATTTGAGACATTCCCCACACCCAAAAACAAAAAGAAAAAATCTCCCATGAATGCTTCTGTCCTTTGAAACAGCCTCTCTCTGTCACACACACACACGTGTGCACAAGCACACCTGAACAGTCCAAGCAATGTCAAGAAAAATGTAATCTACAAATTCAAGCAGCTGATCTAAGATTGCATTTGAATAGACCTAAATGCAGCGATGGACAGGCTAGAGATTGATTGGGGAATTAAAGAAATCAGTACCATTAATAAACCATATTAGCAGCTTGTAATTGCAAACAAGTCAGTTTCAGAAAATAATGAAATTATTCAATAAACTGGAGTTTCGAAGCATGCTGCTTTGTGCACAGTGTCACATCTTGAGTGTCCAGCCACTTCTTTGTCGAACTAATATCCATAAAATTAAAATAATGTAGGTAGTATCCCTTGAATTAGTCATATCCTGTTGGAGCTATCTGCAACAGGATAGTTAATAGCAACATAATGTCAAATCTGGAAATGTGGTTTGACTTTGTATTTTAGTTTGGTACATTTATGCAATTTTTGTGGCATGGAGGTTAATATATACCAGAATGCAGCAACTACACCTGAAAGTTCTGAAATTCTTGTACAGCTTAATCAGAAAATGCCATCTTTTGTAACATTACTAATTAAAATCCATGTTTTCCTTCAAAATTCTCTGCTTTGTATGGTTAGTTCTTCTAAAGTGCCCCAAAATGTGATTGCAATTCCAAATCTACCTTCATAAATGGCATCCTTCCATTGTAGTGTGATAACTTCATTTTTATGGCATTTGTCCTAGGAGACTCATACTACTGGAAGATCTTAGTGTAGCAATGTAATCCTTAAGTTTCCTAGGAAAAGGGGTATCACAGAAATATACCAAATCAATAAGAAAACACCTCTATAAAAAAACTAATTCTACTTTTGTAGTTGTTATGCAAGAATCACACATCCTTCTAGTCAGAGAGGTAACAACAGCTCAGCTCTAGCTATGATCAAGTACTCATCACTTCGACTCATCTGAACTGGAAAAAGTGTACACTGGCATACACATCATATCTTTTCCACAATTTAGGTTGAATATTTTCAATAGGAAACATAACAGAAAGGGAAAGTGCATATTGTAGTCGGTATTTAACTTGTGGTTTCTAAGCACATACCAACGTTGAGTAACTTGACCACAGTTTGTTGTGCACTTGCTTTCATGATATGCTCCACGATAATCACATTTCTGGCATCCATCTTTTGGTGCAACCAAGGACCAGTATCTTCCAATGCTGTGACCATTAACCCAAGCCTCACCCTTTCCCATACTTCCCAAGTCAAGTGCTACAGGACTTGTACCTTTGGGAGCATCGAAGTATGCCTGGCAATTGAAGCAGAATTTGATAATAACTTGTGGAATATCAGAGTTAGATTTAGCCATAAGTTAATTGCAATTACTAATATGCCAAGTTTCCAAGGAATATACCCAATAATTATGACTCATGATTAATGTACGCAAAGAAATAGCTTTATAGGAATAACTAGCCCAATCAGATAGACTGCTAGGCGTGAATAGAGGTCTTGAAGCCAGAGAGAGAGAGAGAGAGAGAGAGAGAGTAAACTACAAGACTAACACCCCTCTCAAACTGCCGCATCAGCAGTAATGGCAAGAGTTCACTCACAACATAACCATGTCATTGTTTGATAGAAGCTTTGTTAAATATATTAGTAAGTTAACAATCACCCATCAAACCGGTGCATCAGTAGTAATGGCATCAGTTTGCTCACAACATAATCATGTCATCATGTAATAAGAGTTTTGGTAATAAGTTAGTAAGTTGATAGTCTAAAAAAAATACAAGGAAGCATAAGGAGGTCAGAAGCACCTTGACATAAATCCAAAAGCAAATCTTTCTTGAATGGAATGACAATTAGCCTCAATATGCTTGGTAAATACAAGGTCAACTACAAATCCTGAATTTGCATTGATATTATCTCCATAGAGAGGTGTAGGTGATGACGGAGGGACACCTAAATCAAAGAGTGTGCATCTGGAGGACTCAATAGAGACAAAAGACATAGCATGCTACTCAGTTTTGGCCAGCGTAACGACACACGGCCGAGTCAACTCGGACTTGGCTGAGTTACTCGGCCTCGGCCTTTGGCCTGAGGTGAGTATTTCCCAAGTCATTCGTCCCGAGTTCATTAGGATGGGAAACTAACACTTGACAAAAGAAAAATGAGGAGAAGAAAAATTGTTCCTTCATTTCTCTTGAGGGATTAGATTTCCACAACTTTTGGGTTGTTTTGGGTGGATTTGTAATTGTATCTTGGGTAGATTTCAATGCCACGTTTGGCTTTCTTCTTGGGCAGATATTTGCACATGTTCTTTGGGCAGTTGGGTGGCTTCAAATTGCAGAGAAGATAGATTTGATCCCCGCATATCTTCAAATCAACTAAGGTTAGAAGATGGATTGATCCCCCAAAATCTTCAACTACATGTAAGGCTAGAAGGTTGAATGTTAGTTTTAACACTGCATGTTGTTTTTCTGAGCTGGTTTGAAGTTTGGATGTTAGTTTCTTCCTTCAATGAATTTGGCTCACCAGCATTAAGATTTGAATTTGCCTCACCACCATTAACATTTGAAGGTTCACCTTTGCGGTTGGTGTTTAGAACAGATTTCACTGCAATTTTGGGCTATTTCTTGGGTGGACTTTTGGGCTAATATTTTAGGTAAGTGACTTTAAGTTGCAGATTTTGTGATCTCAAGTTGGAAAGGAGAAGATGAGTTGATGGTAGTTTTGGGGAGAGAGAGAGAGTAAATTTGACAAGAGATCAGACATACAAATTGACAATGGAAGTCACAGAGATGGAATGAAATCCACCCAGAGAGAGAGAGAGAGAGAGAGAGAGATGTGCTGGGGTTGGGTGGGGGATGGATAGAGAAACGCGTGACCCCATGCATTACCTTTGCTGGCCTCGTGCCGTGCCCCCTCTCTCCTTCCATCTCCATCTACATGCCCCCGTCTTTGTTCCTATTAGCCGGGTATCTTCTTCCTTGATTTCTCTCTCCTTAAAAGCTCATTTCACGGGGGGAGTAACTTGGACTAGCCTAAGTAAATCAGCCGGGGCCAGGTTCAAGTCGTTGGCTCGAGCTATGTTTCATTAAACTGGTTTCGACCTTTGATTTGGAAACTACCTCTAACATATGGAAGTCACTACGCAACGCCTATGGGCGAAAATGAACATTGT